CTTCCTTCCTTCCTTCCTTCCTTCCTTCCTTCCTTCCTTCCTTCCTTTCTTTCTTTCTTTCTTCTTTCTTTCTTCTTTCTTCTTCTTTCTTTCCCTTTGGTTGTTTTACAAACAACAGCTAATGCAATATTCAAGTGGTGGGATTTTTATAAATAGCCGAGTTTGATATTAATGACCAAAAATATACTGATAAAATGAATCTTATCTTTTTATTGAATCCAAAAGCATTCATTTTTGCTTATACCCACATATTTTCCAGAGGATCTTCTCCGTGTAAGAGTGTGAAACTTATCTATTTAATAATGTTATACATACGTCAAAATGTATTCTCAGAAGGACCTGGAAGTTATACAAATAAATGTTAATGGTATAGTATCAATTATAGATGTTTTCAGTTTTCTTCTTTTGTTTAACCGTGTTCTCTAAGATTTCTACGATAAAACCATATTGCATATCTAAGAAAAATAAAATTACAGTTGCAAAAGAAATAGAAGTTACCTTTGAAAATGTATTTTGTTCCAGATTTTATAATGTATCCCAAATGATCACTAGAATTATAAATTCAACAAAGACCTATATATATTTTTAGCCAAGAAGATTTGATAATTAAATACATTTTTAGGACCTGTGGGATTTTATCAATTATTAAGATGGTAACAATGGGGCTAAATTACCTTTCTAGCCTGCTGGGCTCTTGTCCTAACTTCACTGAATACCATCTTTGGTTTATTGGAAGGAATGGAGGAGATGTTATAACAGCAAATTCTGCCCAGTGGAGAGCAAGTAAGTTGACACCATCTATGACGCTTAGTCAAAGTGGTCCCAGCACAGACAGGAGTTGTGCAAGTGATTGGCTGGTAAGGTACCAATGATCCATGACAAAAAAGGAATTTCCATGTTACCTCCTAATTAAGACAAAGAATTACCTCCTAATTAGAGAACAAAGAAACAAGTTGCTCTGTGCTCTTCTAAGAGGTCATCGTAAAGAGCCAAGGAGATGATGAGTCTGAACCCTGCTTCTGGCTACCAGGACAGTTTCCTGGCCTGTGGAAAATGGACTCATTTGAGTGGTTTTGGTGGGTTTGCCTGGACAGAACTCACTTTTCCCACCAACGTGAATGCAAAACTGGCTCAGCTTCGAAACGGCTAAGTTCATCAACTCACTTATTTAGACAAATAACTTTTGAGCACCAGAGTACCAACTATGTGCCAGAGAATGTTCTAGGTGCTGGGGACACTGGAATGAAAGAAAAGCCTAAGACCCTACTCTCACAAAGTGTACATTTAAATGGAGAACCCAGAGAACAAACAATCAGAAACACAACAATGTAAGGCCAGGTATTGTTCGGGTTCATAAAAAAATAAATTAAGCAGAACAAAAGGATAGATAATGACGGAGGTTCCTCCATCCAGTAAGGTGTCCAGGGACAGTCTCTCTGGGGAGGCGACAGTTGAATGACTGGAGGAGATAGTCTTGTGAGTCAAACATTCTAGAATGGCCGTAGGCACAGCAAGGGGGAAGACCCTGAAATAGAAACACTTTGCCTCGAGGGACTGCAAGGGTGTAGGATGCACCATGTGTGGTGAACAAAGGTGAAATGGGCGGCCTGGGGACAGATCAGGGATGGTCTTGCGCATCATGGTAAGGATTTTGGATTTTACAGTGTGATTAAAAGTTGCTGGAAGGTTAAAACACAAAACACGGATCTGACCATAAAAATTGTTTGACTCTGTTGAGAGATAGGGGCAGGAAGTGCTCATGTGTGTGCAGCAAGATAGGAGAGGGGTGTGGGCAGGCTAACTCCATACATTTCATGAAGAAACCACAGCAGTGCCCAGACCTTGGAAAAAAAAATTGAGAAGCACTACAAGAAAATTTAGAATTAGAGACACAAATATTTTTTTTTTTTAAAGATTTTATTTATTTATTTGAGAGACAGAGAGAATGAGAGAGAAAGCACATGAGATGGGGGTAGGGTCAGAGGGAGAAGCAGACTCCCTGCTGAGCAGGGAGCCCCATGCGGGACTCGATCCAGGGACTCCAGGATCATGACCTGAGCCGAAGGCAGTCGCTTAACCAACTGAGCCACCCAGGCGCCCGAGACACAAATATTTTTGAAAAAGATAAAAGAATGTGATGACTTGGAGAGTAGAAAATTGGGAAAGAATGAAAAAAATGGAAGGCTTTCTGGCTCTCAAGGCTATGCACATGTATAAAGTTGATCTTAAAAACTTGAAAAAAATGCAAAACACAAATGATAATATGAAAAGAAGACAGAAAGTATAGGGTAGCACTGTCTAACAGCACTTTCTTCTATGATGGAAATTACATCAATATGGAAGATATTTGAAATGTGACTAGTGTGACTGAGAAATAAATTTAACATTTCATGATGTTCTAATTAACGTACATTTAAATAGCCACATGTGGCTAGTGGCCACCATATGAGTCAGTGCCGCCATATGCAATGGCCAGCTCCTACCTAGGGTCTACTTTGCTTCTACAGTTGACTCTGCTTTCTCCTGCTTCATCTGTTTTTCTATCCCTACTGGATCATTTCCATCTCCTGTGTTAAAATATCCATCTTTTTAAAAAGTGCAGCTCTGAGCCCATCCCTCTGTGGTTGTCCACCCCATTTCTTTGTTCCCTGTATAGCAAAACTCAAGAGTTCTCTATGTCTGTGTTGTCCTACACAGCAGCCACCCAACTAGCCACATGTGGCCATTTAAATTTAAATTAATTAAAATTAAATAAAATGTAAAATTCAGTGCCTTAGTTGCACCAGTCACATTTTAAGTGCTCAATAGCCACATGTGGCAAGCGACCTGTGTATTGAACAGAGACAATACGGGACATCTCCATCATCAGGGACAGCTCTCTTGAGCAGTGCTGAGAAGCACTGGAGGGAGGGCAGAGAAAACAGGTACGGTTGCTGGTAGTTTAGCAGATTTGGTCTAGAAGGATAAGAAAGTTATCTTATGGCTATTTCTTTTTTCTCAGTGGAATAGGAAGTAAAGTCATCAAGTGAGAGTGAGAAAGGAAGGGGCAGGGGATGTTGCAGGATGGGAAGAAAGGAGATGGTAGGCAATAAACCTTTCCAGACCTCAGGAGAGCAAATGGATGAGGGAAATAAAGAGCAGAGTTTTCTCCAAGGCAAATTGGAATCATTATGTTTTATTTTGATATTCTTGCTTTTCTCAATGTTGGTACTAAGAGGCCATCCTTAAAATTGGCCAGTGTAGGTGGGGATGGAAACATGAGCCAATATTCCAGCTTCCTTCATATTGACTTTGAAATTAGACCAGGCTGAGAAATCTCATTGTCATGGCTGTGACCACAACCTTTACAGCAGGAAGGAAGGGGAGGTCCCTTCCTGGAGATGTTTTGCAGTGATAAGGTATGGGAACTTCCTCCGTTAAGGTTCTTTTAATTTTAAAAGGTAGAAACCAACTCAATCAAACTTAAACAAGAAAAGGAGATGGACTATAATGACACAAGAGTGTCTCTTGGAACCCACGGGAATGCAGCTTGGGATTTAACTAGAGTTAGCCAGGAGGAATAGAAAGTTCCCAGAGACCCAGGCAGAATCATATTTCTCTCTCTCTTTCTTTCCCCCCCTTATACTTATGATTTCTTATCTCTTCTTCTGCACAAGAAGCATTTTTTTTCTTTTCTCTAAAGAAAAGATCAGCTTTCTCTATAGAGTTCTCAGCACACTTGATGGGTGAGAGAACGTCAACCCCCACAATACCCTAAGTTCTTATCACCTCAGAACAAGAAACCCTCTCAGATTAACAGGAACATCTTGGCCCCAGTCTCAAATTTCTGATGGAATCTGATTAGGCAAACATAAGACAACTGCCCTACCCTGGTTCAAACAACACACCATGGGTACAAACACAACTTCCCAGGGCCATTCCCAGGCTGTGCAACAGTTCTCAGAACTCCTTGGCGTCTGGGAAATTTTTCCTGTTCTGTTACCTTCCTGGGTCTTACCTGAACTTGGGGTGTTGTCCCTCCATAGGGCTACACAGCTTTCAAAGCCCATTTTCCACCTGGAAATGAGGTTGGGACCTTGGGCTTTTAAGAACATCCTTATGGTTTCTTTGTCTCTACTGTACAATCCTCTCAAAAATACTGTAGGCTCTGTCTATCTGCTTCCAGCCATTTCCTTGAGCAAGTAACCACACTCAGTGTTCTCTTTGAGGGACTTCTTTTTTTTTTTTTTTTTAAGATTTTATTTATTTATTTGTCAGAGAGAGAGAGAGAGACAGAGAGCACAAGCAGGGGGAGCAAGAGGCTGAGGGAGAAGCAGGGGGAGCTAAGCGAGGAGCTGATGCGTTACTCGATCCCAGGACCCTGGGATCATGACCTGAGCCAAAGGCAGACGCTTAAACAACTGAGCCACCCAGGCATCCCTGAGGGACTTCTTATACGACCTTTATTTCTTTGCTTTTTTTGCAAACCCTCTTCAACTCATTCTGTTTCTCTGTCTCTCTCTCTCTCTTTCAATACTTTGCCAACCACAACCAGTAGTAACCACATATAATCTTAAAGTTTTCTTTCCTGACATCTCCCCACTGAACTATAAGTTTGGTAAATGAACTACCTTTAAGATAATCACAAGCAACACCTTTACCAAATGTTTTGACTTCTTCCCACCTCTGAAATCAGTTTTCTCATTGTTACTACCTGATCGCCAAGCCAATATTTTAAGGTTTTTTTCAGCAGCATATCACTTTTGGTACTAATTTTTATATTGATCAAGATAGGATATATACACAACACACCCTTATGGAAAGAATTTCAGTGGCCTTGAAACAATAAAGCTTATTTCATATGCACACCAGGTTTGGTATGAGCTAAGTAAGTCTCCAGGGGGGTTTGTCTTTAACCATATCATCTCAACTGAGGGCCTCAGCAACTGGCCAACAAGGAAAAAGCTCACAGGAAAAATTCATATCTGTTTTTCTAAGCTTTGACCCAGAAGTGAGACATATCACTTCAGCTTAAAACCCATTGTCCAGAATTAGTCTTATGGCCCCACCTAACTACTAAGGGGCTAGAAATTTGAGGGAGCATGTGGTAAAATTGTTGAACAGCCAATGTCCCTTCCACAGTCCATGCAGGCCTCATGTTGAGAGGCCTGCATCGAAGCCGTAAGATCAAATTAGCCTGGGCAGTGCAATTGCTACAGAAATGGACCCCTATCCTGGAGACTAGCTGGACTGCACTGTAATTTGTATGCGTGAGAAACAAAATGTTGTTGAATTAATCTACTGAGATTTAAAGATTTAATTATTCTTGCAGCAGAGTCCAACCTAGCCTGATTATTTGGGGAGCACAAAAGAAGACGAGTAAATGGAACAACATAGCTTCCTTTCCCTGAAGCAACTGTAATTCCAACCCAAATGGCAGCAGGATTTTTTTTTGAGAATCTGATAAGATGATACAAAGCTCGCTTGGAATAATAAAAAAGTGAAAATAGCCAGTACAACTATAAACAGAATAATGAGGGGAGGGAGAACTAATTTTACCCAACATTAAGAGATTTTATAGGTAGAGAAAATACAGGAAACCCAGAAAGACATTGCAGAGAAAGTACAGGGAATAACAAAGATATTAGTAGAGAATAGAGATCCCAGAAATAGGCCTAAATACATTTGAGAATTTAGAATATAAATAAAATGATATTTTAAGTCCATGGAAGAGTATAAATAATTCAGAAATGTTGTGACAGATAAGCCACTGGGGGTAAAAATGCTGAAGTACCTCACTTCTTGTACTCAAATCATTTCTAACTTAATAACTTAACTGTAAAACATGAAACTGTAGCAATACTAGAAAAATCATTGGTAATTTTTTTCCCCAATTTTGAACTGGCGAAGGTCAAGAGACATATAATAGAAGATTGACAAAATTACATAACAATTAGTACTTCTGCAAGACAGAGAATACCATACACAAAGTCAAGAGACAAACCACAGGATAGAAAAAAAAAATGTTTGCAATCTATATAACAGGAAGGAGATACATTTCTTTAATACACAAACAGATGTAAAATCAGCAAGGAAAAAAATGGACGTCCAATAAAAAAAAAAGAGGCCAATGGTAGACAGTTTGCAGCCCCACAAAAGCAAATAGACAATAAACGTATGAAAAGATTTTTTTCAGCTTTTTAAATAATCAAAGAAATGTAAGATAAAACAAGATACTGTTTTTTACTTAGTATATTCACAAAAATTAAATTTTGCTCATTCTCAAGGGTATGGGAAACATGAACTCTCACATATTGTTAATGGAATGCAAATTGCTATGACGTCTTTGGAAAGCAATTTGGCAATAACTATTAAAATTTTAAAAGTACATTTTCTTTAACTCAGCAATTTCCCTTCTAGGAATTTTTCCCACAGAAACACTTGCACAAGGAGGCAAATCTATACTGTACAGGGACAGCATTGGTAATATTATTTGTAAAAGTAAAAAACTAGACAAAATTTAAATGTCTGTCAAGAGAGGATTAAATGAACTATAATAACAGAAAATAGAATACTACATAGCTGTTGAGAAGAATCAATACATTTATCCACATTGAAATGAAAAATATCCAAACTAAATTAATTTAAGTGAAAAAATAAGGCAGAATATAGTATTATGATAAATGAAACTCCAAGGATCACATATATTTATACACATACAAATTTCTGGGAAAAAAGAAATAACTATTAATACATTCAGCTGCAATTACATTATATATGAGGGTGTAGGTAAAGAGGTCAGCTTTTACATTTCATGTTTTATCCATTTGTATTGTTAGACTTTTTTAAAAAATATTTTATTTGTTTTATTTAGAGAGATGGGGGGGCAGACAGAGAGGGAGAGAGAGAATCTCAAGCACGCTCCCCACTGAGCCTGATATGGGGCTCGATCTCACCACCTCAAGATTATGACCTGAGCTGAAATCAAGAGTCAAATGCTTAAACCGACTGAGCCACCCAGGCACCCCTGTAGTGTAAGAATTTTTTAAACTTGTGCATGCATTACTTCATGATGAAAAACACAAAAATTTTAAACCATTAGTCCTTCCATGGAAATATCAGTTCTATGTTTTTACCTGTGAATCTGGATCTAAAAAGATATCAGCAAATAGAAAGAAAAGAAAGGAGAAGGAGGAGAAGAAGAAAAAGAAGAAGAAGAGGGAAAAGGAAAAGAAGAGGAATGACCAAAGTTAGACATTCACAATATGGCACAAAAGAGTAAACTGAGCTACCAATCATAATGAAAGAGGAGAGCCACACAAACTTTTGGAACTGTCAAGTCCTATTTCCACTGCAAGGAAAAAACAATCCCCAGGCATTATAGTAGTCTCTCTGTATCAATATTTCCAAAAAAAAATTTAGTAATAACAGTAGTAGCTCATATTTATTGAGCAAGACCTAATTTGGATTCAGTGCTAAGCACTTTTATATGAATTACCGCGTTAAATTCTCACAAACTCCATATGGTAGGAGCACTGCTATCAGTCCCATTTTATCAACAAGAAAACTAAGCACCAGAGAGAGAAATTAGGGGGGCCCCTGGGTGGCTCACTCAGTTAAGCGCCGGACTTTTTTTTTTTTAAGATTTATTTATTTATTTTAGTGGGGGAGGGGCAGAGGGAGAGAATCTATGGCAGACTCCCTGCTGAGTGCAGAGCCCATCGTTTCACAACCACCATTTCACAACCCTGAGATCGCGACCCTACCCAAAAATCAAGAGTCAGACGCCTAGCCAACTGAGCCACCCAGGTGCCCCCAAGCGTCAGACTCTTGATTTCAGCTCAGGTCATGATCTCAGGGTTGTTAAGATCCAGCCCCATGTGGGGCTCCACGCCCAGCCTAAGGCGTGGATTCACGCCTTAGGATCCAGGTGCCTAAGATTCTCTCTCTCTCTGCTCCTCCCCCTTCTAAAAAGAGTGGGAGAGAGAAAAATTAAGAAATATCACAAGAGACCCAGCATTTGTGTTTCAAAGCATTTGCAATATGCTTCAGTGGGCTTCAATGCTGATTCCACACTTACTCTCCATGCATCCTCAGGAAAGTCACTTAACATTTCCCACCAGTGAATTGAGGATAGTGACAGAACCTACCTCACAGGGTTGTCAGGGGGTTAAATGAGAGAACTCAGTGTCTCACACATAGTGAGCTCTCAATAAAGGTGAGCTGCTGCGCCTGTTGTTACAAGGCCTTTAACGATAGGGTCTCTTCCTACTGGTCCAGTCTCGTATCTTTCCATGACCACCCCCGTCCTCCCCGAACTCGATCTCCAGTCCTCCTAATCTCCTTGCACGCCCCCCGTGGCTTCCCAAGGCCTGCAAGCCTCCCTCGGTCCCTCTGCTACAGTGCTCGTTTCCACCTTCCTCCCCTTCTCCCCCTGGCTGACTCACCTCGATCCTTAAAACTCACCTTAGTGCGTACTGGGAGTCAAGTTCTAGATTTTCTTCCCCTGCGTTCCTCCAGGTCTGAGCGCACGAGCCGGCAAAGAATATTTGCCACATGAGTTCAGTGTAACCAAAAGAAGAGTGAGCTACTTGTCCCGCAACCTCTGTGGACCATTCCCAGGAAAGCCAGTTGTAGGTGGGGCAAACGGAGTTATTCATTCACTGAATGATTATTATTATTAGCTCCTGCTATTGTTCTGGTGCTGAGGCCACAGAGTAAGACCAAGTACCCTGTTCCCTGGTGGGTATCGTCTATATGTATGGGAAGGAGATAGAGATCAAATAAAGGGAAAGATCATTTAAATATTGGTACATTTGAGAACAAAAACAGAACAAGGTTAAGGGTAGAGAGTGATGGGGAACGAGGGGCTCATTTAGACTTTGTGGCTAGGGAAGGCCTCTGTGGAGGTGACCTTTGAGCTGAGACCTGGGTGACAGGAAAGACCCAATCATGCCAGTGAGGGAGCAGAGCGAGTTGAGAGCCCCTGCGGGGGGAACGAGTCAGCATTTGCCCCGGCCGGAAGAGGCTCCAGGTGTCTACAGCCCCAGTTCACCAGCAAAGGTCAGAGAGGGGGGTCATGACTGGATCCAGTAGGGCCTCTTAGGCCATGATAAGGTATCTCGATTTTGTTCTACCCACAACAGGAAGCCGCTGGAGGGTTTGCACTGGCGAATGAGATGATCTGATCTAGTATTTTGAGACGGCTTTGGCCCCCGTGCAGAGGGCAAGAACAGGCTGTTATCAGGTTATCGCAGTGGTGGGGGGCGGGGGTGGCTGTGGGGCCGGGGATGGGGAAAAGCGGGTGGATTTTGGCCCTTCTTGGGGAGGGGACGACAGGGCTTTTGCTGACGAGTATATAAGGGGACAGATTGTGGTGTCCCTCAGTGAGGTGACGAAGACAGGAGGAGAAACAAGTTTGAGGGACACGGGGTGGGAAGGAACCTACAGTCCCATGTCTGTTGGGGCACGGCAGGCTGGCGATGCTGTCGGGCGTGCGAGCAGAGAGCGTCAGCAGCCGGTGGGCTCTGCAGGCCCGAAGTGGCGGGGAGCTTGGGGTGGGAACTCCCAATCTGCCCATCACCGGCGAGTGAATGACCTTCAAACAGGGGAACAGAGCAGATAAACGGGGGTGAATGAGTGTGGGAGTCCAGAGGGCGATGGAGGGAGGGGAAGGGCCAGGAGAGGAGAGGAAGGAAGAAGAGGAGAAGGCCCCAGGTCAAATTCAGGACACTCAGAGATAGCAAGTGATGGAGGCAGGAAGCCCACCTTGAAAATCCTCCCAGGAGAGCGTGTGCTCTAGAGAAGCTGAGAGAATAGAGAGGTTGAGGAAAGTGCTAAGGGTGGCCTCCCATGAGGAAGCAAGTGGCTGGCTCTGGCAAAATCATGGTTGCTCCTCACTGTGGCTAGAACCAGTTCAGTGGCATGGTGGGGTTAGAGGGTCAAGGACAGTGAGTTGAAAGGGGAAGGACTGAGGGAGGCGAGCCAGCGACTGTTGTGGAAAGGACGGAAACATGGTCAAGGAAGAGCAGTTTGCTTTGTAAGAGGCTCCGTGTGCTGATAGAGTTGGGGGGGGACTACCTGTCAGGGCGAGGTCCTGCGGAGGTGAATTGGGGGTGGGGGTCCAGACAAAAGTAGAGGGTGAGAGTTGGCCTGAGCTGAAGGGCTGGGTCATCGACCGCACCCACAGGGAGGGCAACATACTTGGCAGAGGCAGGCCACATGGTAGAAGTGACTACGGAACAATCTGGCAGCTTCTGTTTTCTCAGTGGAGTCTGACAGAAAGGCGTCAGCCAGAGAGAGGAGAGGAGAAAGCAGGTGTTGGAGTGGAAGGGGAGAGAAGCTGTGAGGTGCCGCCTTGCAGAGCGGGACGGTGACCAACCCGGGGATGTGTGGGCGGGTCGCCTGGCACAGCAGAGAGCCCATCCTTATTTGTGATCCTGAATTAAAGTGCCACTAGTTTCCATACTTTCCTGTTGGCACTTTTAGCTGCTCTCGCTAAGAGTGGGTGATGCCATGGTAGGACTTTTGACCAGGCATCTGAGGGAACAGAGCTGGCCCATGGCCACGCTGTGAACTCGGGAAAGCTTATTGTAGGAGTCACTCCATCTTTCCCAGCATCCTGTTCTCCCTTCCTTTTCCATAATAGAATCTGGTTTTGCCTCAAGTGTTCATCCCACTTATGAGATTCACAGGAATAGGAAACTGAGCTCATCTCCTGCTCCAGGAATGGATGCTGATATTCTTTTTTTTTTTTTTTTTAAGATTTTATTTATGTATTTGACAGAAAGAGACACAGCAAGAGAGGGAACACAAGTAAGGGGAATGGGAGAGGGAGAAGCAGGCTTCCCGCAGAGCAGGGAGCCCGACGCGGGGCTCGATCCCTGGACCCTGGGATCATGACCTGAGCCGAAGGCAGACGCCTAATGACTGAGCCACCCAGGTGCCCGGATGCTGATATTCAAAAGCAGTCAGCACCTACCATTTCTCTGATGATGGTTACTAAGTACTCCGGGGATGGGCATGGGGCCCAAGTTGGGCCAAGCAGATGGAAGGAAAGGACCTGATCCCATGGGTGGATTCCTCTTGTTTCTCTCTCCTTCTTAACCAGGAAAAGGAAACCTGATGCTCCAGGATTGGCCACAGTTGCAAGATGAAGCTGATGCTGTGAACAGCTGTGTGGGGAGATGGAAATAACCTGGGGCCCCGATGACATTGTTAAATCCCCAAATCAACCAGCCTCAAAGCCCATCTTACTTCTAAACTTCCTGTTGTTTGAGATAATAAATCTCCTTATTCTTTAAAAACCAGCTCACGTCAGGGTTTCTGTCACTCACAGCAAAAGCATCTTCTTGGACACAATTGTTTTTCTCTGAATTTACACTATATTAGAAATCTTCCAAAAGGTGACTGATTCTTGCCTTCTGCTTACTTAAACATACTGTCTCATGGCAGAGCCAATGTGTGTGTCCAGGCAGCAGGATTTGGGGTCACCGGGACACTTCTGCTCCCACAGTGTGGGGTTACTAAGAGACACGTATGTTTGTCCACAAACCGGTTTTGCCAGTTGTACTTGTTTTTGTTATTATGCAAACCAATGAAACATGAGTGAAGAAAAGAATCAGTGCATAAAAGCCAAACCCTGTGCTTTTAATAAATAGTAGAGGGAAAGTAGGTTTCCTGCTGGTGTGGATGACACAAATGTAAAATGGTTGGGAAATTTTGTTTCATCTAGAAGATTCCAAACTCAGATTGTTTCCCCAACTGTCTTGGAGCTCTGTACTTTAAAGCTGGTTTTTAAAAGTTTTTAAACGTCTTTTTAAAGGTCAATTGGCTGTCACATACTTAAAGAAGAGGCTTTGTCCCTTCAAAATATTGTTACATGAAGGTACATTTATATGTTTTACTTCAATAAAATGATCACCTTGTTTTTCATTTTTACTGTCTCCCTACTTTACCTGCGTATCTGCCTTAACTAATTGCTCTCCTAGCTGCGGTCTGGGGGCTTCCCGGGACAGGTGTCCATGGCTCCCCTTCTTCCCCCACTCCCATATGTCTCCTGTAGCTTTGCCCTCCCCCTCCCTCCCCTCTCCAGCTCATCAGCCCCTGTCATTACAAAGTTAAAATTACAAGACGAGAGTACCTTTCCTTTGGATAGAAGGTCTGGAAGGAGCTACGCCAAAGTGTTACCTGCTATTTCTGCATGGAGAGATTATAGATTTTTTTCTTACGCATGTGAATAATAATGAGGTGAACTAGTATTGATTTGGTAATAAGAAAATAAAAATAAAGTATCCCCCCCCACCCCAAGAACAAAGAATGCCTTGTCTTTCTATGAGAATTCACTCTTTATAAAGAACTTTTCGGTCCATCCTATCAGTGGCACTTCATAATGACTCTATATAAAAACCATTACTCCCACATAAAGATGAGGAAACGAAGATGGGGAGGAGGGAAGTGTCTGGCCTCAGGTGACAAAGTGAGGAAGAAGTAGAACCTGTTCAGATGCCTAGGTCCACGATACCCACTTCAAATGGTTTTTGCAGCCCTCTACGTTACTAAAGGTTCCATGAAAATAGACTGATCATAGCTAAATAAGCTACCTGTGCCGGGATGAAGAGGTATATTTACATTGCTAAAATAGAGCAATGTAAATAAATGTAGTTACAAAGAATGGAAGCACAGGTCCCAAAAGGAGGCAGGAGGAGAAGGAAGGCCTGCCCAGCACAGGGGGCAGCTCCATACAAGGTCAGTGTCACATGGGCGATGGCATTCATCTTTCTTGTCCAATTCCCGCTTAAGAATTCAGGACAAACTCCACTGGTCTCTACTGGAAAACTGAGGTCCATTGTTTAACCTCTTTGGGCTTTGGCGTTGTGTTCTATAAACTGGGAGTGGTAATACTAAATGCCTAAATAATGTTCTCAGGATTCAAATGGTAATGTATGTAAAGCCCTTACAACTGGCAGCTGGTGGAGCGTGCCATCATCACCATCATCTTCATCATCATCATCACTAGGACTACTGGCACTATTACTATATTACTGGTACTACTATTAGATGTAGTCACAGTGTGACTGTTTTCATAAAACGTGAAGGACTTGGCTGGTGCCACCTGGTTGATTGGGCATTAGACCCAGAAATTTATGCATCAGAACAGCACTATCTCTAAGGATTTGTCGGAGCTGTTAGGGCTCATCTCTGCTTCTCTCAGATCTCTTCATTCTCATGCTGAGAATTTGGCCCCTCAAAGTTTTTTGGGCCACCTCCTTATCACCTCCAGGAGCTATCACCTCCACTTTGGCCTCCTGAGCCTTCTGAGCATGGGAAACCTAGGTCTTTGTGGAGGAATGACAAGTTTGCTCAGTTCTCTTCCATTTTGGTAGTTCATTTTGACTTTCGAATGCCTCAGAGGTTCCAGGAAGATGTCACCATGTGTAGACCCACAGAGAAACTGGCAGAGGGGGGTTTCATTTCACAGTTGGCCTGAGCAGCCCTAGTGTGAGCTCTCAGGCTCAACAGCGCCCATGACCTCGGGTCTGTCCCGCCTGCCCAGGATCCTTCCACCCGACGGGCCACACCCACCACATGCTGACATGATGATAGTTGGCAAAGTATTTCCCATAGTATGTCACTTGTAGCACAACCTTGTAAGGAGTTATAACTACTCCATGTTACATTTGAAACAACCAAATAGTCTTTGAAAACTGACACTGAAGAAAGCCTTAGAAGTTAACCCAACCCAACCTCTTCCTTTTTCAGATGAGGATGTTGAGGGCTTGAAAGATTAAGTGGCTGGTACAGAATCACAGTAGCAGTGATGATAGCAAGGGTGGCCTGACCAGAGATGGCACTGAGCCCTTCACATCTAGCATCTCATTTTGTGCTCACAACTATCTCACAAGGTAGGACACAGCAGATGAGGAAACAGAGGGCCAGGGGTCAAATGCAGCTCTTCTGATGTGAGCACAGTGCTGGCTCCATGCCCCAGCATGGCTACCCAAGGTGGGGGCCTCTAGTCCTGATGCCAGGGCCATCCACACAGGGCCCCTGTGCGGGCACAGGAAGAGAAACGGACAAAGGCTGCCTCCACACAAGAAACAACAGACTGCTTCACCCCTGCAGAACGTCTGGAACCATGATCACCCAAGCAGGTCAAAGGTGTGGGCACCCTGTTTTGTTCTAGAAGAGACTCAGTACTTTCCCCCTCTGCTTACCAGGGTAATCCATAATCGTTATAGAAACTTAAGAAAATAGACACTAACACAAAGGGAGGAGAAAGAAGTATATTATAACCCCAACCCTCTGAAAGGAGTTTTGTTCTAGAGGACTCCAGATACTAAACTCCACTACTTTGAAAGTGAAGAGGAAGAAGAGAGGGTGGGGTCACTGCACTCCCCTTTTGTTGGTTTTTTTGTTTTTTTTCTTTTTCACTTCCCTGTAGTGCAGCGAAGCTTTACAGACTTTGAGTCAGAAGTAGAGTTCAAACAGTTTTAACTCTGGCTCTTTGACTTTGCACTAGTGTCCTACTGCTTTTTTAAAATTTTTAGTTAAATTGTGGTAAAATACAAATAATGTAAAATGTACTCTTTACCATTTTAAAGTTTAGTAATGTTAAGCTTAGGAAGGTTAAGGATATTCATAGGGTTGTACAACCAATCTCCAGAACATTTGCATCTTACAAAACTGAAACTCTATATCCATTAAATGACTAACTCCCCATTTACTCCTCACCCCCACCTCCAGCCCCTGGCAACCACCATCTACTTTCTGTTTCATGATTTGGACTATTCTAGACATCTCATATACATGGACTCATACAACATTTGTCCTCTTGTGATTGGTTTATTTCACTTAGCGTACTGTCTTCAAGGTTCATCCATGCTGTAGAATGTGTCAGAATTCCTTTCCTTTTGTACGGCTGAATAATATTCTAGCGCATGTATAGACCACATGTTATTTATCTACTCATCCGTTGTTGGCCACTTAGGTCACTTTCATTCTTTGGTTATTGTGATTCATGCTGCTGTGAACATGGGTGGACAAATATCTCTTAGAGACCCTGATCTCCATACCTTAACCTCTTGATTTTCCCTCTCTCGTGCTATAAAATGGGGCGGAGAAGAACACCTGCCTTGCTCCTCTGCAGAGAGCGTGCTAGAGAAGCAGTAAAGGGCCACCAGCAGCAGGACTGGAGACTGGCCCTCACTGGAACCGCCGGACAGGACTGAGAGGGCCTGGAGAGAAGAGAAAGACAGGCCTGAAGCTGCTCCACATGAGCAGCCAACTCCATCCCTGCCCAGTGAGTCCCCCAGCCTGGCCCTCCGAGTGTTGGCACTTTCTTCCTGTCTTTGGTTTGGTTGTGTGGTTTCTCCGTGAAGCTCGTTTTCACTTCCTCTGCCTGGAACATGTCTATCCCTTTTCAGGACCTCCTTAAGCAAGTGTCCCGCCTACAGAGCATCTCCCGGAGAACTCCAGCATGTTTTGTTTCACACTGTAAAGTCAAGTCATTCCCACCTGAGGAACAAAAATCAGATGATCTCAGGGTCTAAAAATTTCCACAATTTCTTAACCGTAAATTTCAAACTTTAGAAAGATCCTCTTTCCGGAGTCTAAGGCTATAAATTTCTACTTCAGGAGGCTAAATCCTACCCTGGTGGCCTGAAGAGACATGTCCCTAAGGTGCCCTGTTTCTGTCCAGCACTGACTCCTAGGAGACTCGGGTCTTTCATCCCCCAGCTCTACACTTTCATAGGCCTGTGACCGCCCCCTGCTCACTGGGACATAATGTGACAACAGTACCTTCCCTGTGGAAGCACGTGATACTGATGTAGTAAAGATGTTATTAGGGTTCGAAGCCAACGGCCAAGAAAGAATTCTTGAGACGTCTTTGGTGCAAAAAGGTGGTTTTATTAAAGCATGAGGACAGGACCCGTGGGCAGGAAGAGCTGCACCGGGGCCATGAGGAGCGGCCCGTCATATGCTTTCAAGTTGGGAGGGGGTTAGGGATAGCGTGAGTTTCTGAGGAATTTTGGAAACAAGGTTTCCAGGACCTTGAGCGGGCTAGCTATTGTTGGGAAAAGGTCATTTATTACCGTCTAATAAAACCTTAGTCATGAGACCCTTCAGCCATATATCGGTGGGCCATCTGCTTGGGGGGTGATTACCATCACATATCTTGGAGGGTTTAGAGATAAAGGAAGTTTCCAAAGGAACTCTTATACGTTAAAGTAGACTTACAGGATCTTGGGGGAGGTAGGGTGTGTCAGGCGAGGATTGCCTTTTGCCCTTAGCAAAGTATTAACATTGAGGCAGTTGAGTCCCTAGGGGAACGTCACTCTGCCTATTTCAAGGACTTGTCGGTGGGTAGTAAGGAGATTTAGTAATTTTTCTTCTGCCTTTGTTTCCCACCTCAATAGTACAGACCACGTTCATCCTTACTGCCTCTCTGATTTTCGCAGTCCCACAAGGTGGGCACACTGGGGTTGGTGCATCTATTTCAGATGAAGAATAGGAGCTCAGAGACACAGCCAGGATGTAGAAGAGCACCAAACTGAATCGTTTTCTTCTCCTGATCCTGTGAGCCATACACTCCACCACGTGGAGAAGTGATGGGCCGATGAGTTGGGTGTCACATCCGTGAGCTCCCAAGTCAAAGAGGTAGGGGGCGCTCGGAATGTCTCAGTCTTTTTAGTTACTCAGGATAAAACATAGGTAGACACAGAGAAATCGTAGTGTATGCATATGTGTGCCTATGTGTGCATGAGAACAGAAAGAATGTGAGAAAAAAGATAAACCAGCAATGCCTGATCAATGATAGATCAGGACCGTCAAGAAAATCCTGGAGTTCATTAAATTTGTAGGCATCCCTACTTTAAAGGGTCTCTTAAAGATTTATAGCCTAGACTTTGTCAACACGCTTAAACTCTTAGCAAAAGAGAAAGCGTTTTCTGTTTTAAAATGATGCATTGACCTGCTGGAAAAAATTCGTCACCTGAATAGAGCTTGCAGCATAGCCATTAAGCAGAGGAAAGGATAATTACCGTAGCTCTGAAGACGTGACCTTTTAGAATCCCTCTGGAATTGTAGGAGGCTAAAAGATTTGGCCACAGCACTAATGTGCCTGCTGCTGTATTTTCTGTTCTGCTCCATTCACTACTACCAACCTCTCACATGTAAATAAATAGTAATCTAATCAAAGCCTTTGTGCTAGTTTATTAAAATACTTACATAGGAACTAGAGGGTATTATGCTAAGTGAACTAAGTCAGAGAAAGACAATTATATGATCTCACGCATATGTAGAATTTAAGAAAAAAAAACAGAGGAGCATAGGGGAAAGGGAGGAAAAATAAAATAAGCTGAAAACAGGGAGGGAGACAAACCATAAGAGACTCTTAATCATAGGAAACAAACTGAGGGCTGCTGGAGGGGAGGGGGTGGGGAGACGGGGCAACTGGGTGATGGACATTAGGAGGGCACTTGAACTAATGAGCACCGGGTGTTATATGCAACTGATGAATCACTAAATTCTACCCTTAACTAATAAAAAAATACTTACATAATTCTTCACTATCTCTTTAGATCCCTCTCCCACAGCTTTTATGCTGAAGCAGTGAACTGTGTCTTCACAGAAGCCTCATTTTCCTTCTTTATTGCTCCTGTGGGATGACAAGACTAACACCCTTACCCAAGCGTAACTTCTACAGGTTCCTTTGTCTTCAGACAACGCGCTGTCCAAATTTAAGGACGATGAAATCCCCACAGTTTTCCTTGAGCATGACTCAGCGTTTCTCTATCTTATGAGAAATCATCAGGGCCTGCAGGATGCCATGAAATTAGCAATGGATGTGCCTCTGATGTCTGAGAGCAACGTCTGCCTCAAGGCCAGAGATAGTCTAGACTGGTTGCCCCACGGGGATACTGGGCCATGTTTGGAGACATCTTGGGTTGCCGCCCCTGGGAGACAGAGTGCTACTGCATCGAGTGGGTAAAGGCCAGGGATGTCCCTAAATGTCCTACAATGCACGAGACAGCCTCTCACAACAAAGACTTATCCACCCTACACGTTTGGTTGCTGGGGCGGCAAGAACAAAGTACTGCAGACGGAGCGCCTGGCACAACAACGCTGTGCTGTCTCACAGTTCTCGCGTCTGTGTCAGCTCCTTCTAAGGGCTGGGAGGGAAGCATCTGTTCCAGCCCTCTCTCCAGGGCTTGCAGCTGTCCGTCTTCCTGTGTCTCTTCACCTTGTCTTCCCTGTGTGTGTCTCCATGTTTCAATTCCCCTTTTTTGTAAAGTCACCGGTCCTACTGGATTGGTTGGCCCTCATGACCTAATTACAGCCTGATTACCTCTGTCAAGACCCTCTCTCTAAATAAGGTTACCTTCTGAGGTATTAAGGGTCAGAATGTCAACATATGAATTTGGGGAGGGACACAAGTCAACCCATAACCCTGCCTAAAATGTCCATAATGCTGAGTTTGAGACACTCTTGCCTAAATGGCCACTTACCTTCCCTGCCTTCTTTCCTTCTCAGGACAATGAGATGATTGGGCTGAATCTTTGGAATAACATTCACCTGGAAAGAAGACAGGAATTCTCATTTATCATCAGGAGATGATCACTAGGCCTTTAGGCATGGACACCTAGAAACGTCACTCCGATTAGGTAAAAATTCCACTTCCGTGCCCCATCTAGCACCAAATATACCTCTTTATTTTGCTGCCTGTTTTCCTTTTCCTCTGGTTTCCTATACAGGTTCTTCCCCTTCGACGGGCTTTCTTTCCTTTTGAGGCCACCAGTCAGATGCCCATGGGATGCAGCCATCTGGGTCCTATATAAGAAGACTAGTAGAGGAAGCCTTTTGAAATAGTTTCAAGTTATGGTTAACTGAAACTCCTCAGCAGCATAGAGTAATGTGAAAATATGAGCTTCCGGTGAGTCAGACGGGGGCTCCCATCCCACTCAATCATTGTTGCTGTGTAAGCGTGGGAAAGCTAATTAACCTCTCCAAACCTCCAACAATGTCCTTCCCGATAAAAGGGGGTAGAATAAGAGTATCTGCGCTCCTGATAGAGCTGCAGTAGGGATTAAAGGAAATAATGCATAAAGCAAGGTTAGCTTAATGCCTGGCACCAATATATAGCCACTACACATTCATTTGCTGTTGGTATTATTATTTTAAAGAGATGGAAATACCTCTGTGAATTCGTGCCTTCATGCCATGAAGCTGGTGGAGCACTGTCCATGCAGGAGGCACTGGGGATGCAAATACGGGTAAGCCCCTTGCATTCTAGCAAAGAAGAGAACCAAGTAAATAATAAGAGCCGCCGTGCAAGAAGCACCAGCACAGAACTGTGCATAACCCTTTACAGGAGCATGAAGAAGGATTTCTGGAAAAGGCCTTTGGGAAAACATGCACAAAATATTTATAGAAACCTGAAGTCATCGTCTCGATTTACCCAAAGGCAAGTCGGGATTTACATCAGCAGCTTTTTTAGACCCTATTATGACAAAATCATGCCCCTTTCATCACTACCAGGATTTTAAAATATTAAGTGAAAAATGCAGAGGGGAAGACAGAACATTTTTCACGTTAATAATTTGCTTCTGTGATGAGAGAAAAGAGAAAACATCTCATTTGATGATGATGAATTATTTCCAATATTCATGGATGAACGAAGAAGTTAAAAATTTGTAGTGTGTTTATTTCAGCACTAAATACGAGAGATCGTTGGGGAAATCCCACTCATGGTACAAAGACAGTAGGAGTGAAAATTAGAGCAACAGCTATTTCCAAAAAAATTGCTTTTAGAAAGAAAATATTTAGAACAAAAGAAATTACTGAATACAATACTTGTGAAATAGAGTGCCTGTTTTATTCACAACTGTCTCCTATTGCTTAGAACCATGGCACAAAGCAGATTTAGAAGGAGCTGTTGAGTAAATTGGTTGCTTATCAGCCAAATGATAATAACTAATAAGTTAAGATGAATGGAAAGAAGTTGCCCTTAAAAATCTCTACATTAAAAAGGAGTTTGGAATGTCACACTGGAAACACCATGCCCAGAGAATTTCCTTCTGCTCTTTGGAGGCTCACTGCAGATCATGAAATAATCAGTTAGACTAACATGGGTTAAGGACCCACTTCTGCTGAGTCTGGGGAGGCACGCACGAGGGCTGTGAACAGGGACACCACGGCTATATTTGCCACAATAGAGGGAAATACAAGAATGTGGAATCCTGCTGGAAAGAGTTGGGAATTAACTCCTGGAGAAATAACACATTTCTTAAAATAAAAAATCTTTCCCACGTCTATCCATTCATTCAAGAATCACTATTTAAGCACTTAGGGTATGCTAAGCCTCAGCCTTGGGGCCAGAGAGGAAAAGCTGGGTAAGGCATTGCCTCTGTCCAAGAGCAGCTTCAAGGTATGGTTGAAGGACACCGACATGTCAATTACAAGAGCAATCAAGTGTCTGAGATGTGCTAGAAGCATGCTGGTGATGGGCAGGGGACCACGGAGGGAGAGATTTGCTGGCAGGAAAGGACCAGACCTCTGCTGTGGGAAAGCCCCTGACCAGATCACAGACACCAGAGCAAGAGCCACCAAGTGAGAGGAGAGAACTCAGAGGCATCCTGGCCTCCGCTTCTAGTCCCCCGGAGCAGCCTGGCACCCCCGCTGGAAACCCCACTCACCAAGCAAAGCAGAGCAGGGTACTGAAGCTCAAGTAACCGAGAGCCGGGACTGCCAAAAAGTAATTTGTAAAATCATCAATTCATCAAATTTACCATTTTACCAAAAAAAACCCAAAACCAAAAAACTTGCTTCTCTGCATTATTTATAAACTTTCATAGTAATCTGTTGCCAATGAAACAGCTTTAGTAGTTTGGGAGGATGTCTGTAGTTTTTGTTGACAAGATTTCATTTTTTCTTCATAGAGGCATTTAGAGAAACTTGATGTGTTTTTAAACTGTATTAAAAATTCAGAAATCATTCCATAACCAAAATATCAGTGCTTGTTTCCCACAAGAATTTTTCAGTTGCTGCTGGTTTCTTTCATGCCATTTTGGTTTCGCCAACATTTTAGCAGATTTGTGATGGTTCTGCCAATTTCTCAAGTGCATCGTCCACCCAACTTCTCTAACAATTTCATCATTCAAATTTACTGTGTGATATGATTGTTCCTATAGCTTCCAGTTATTTCTCACTTTACCAGTCTCTCTAGCATTTTAGGATTTTGTATTTTGTATTTAAAATCAATAAATGCCTCAAAGTTGAGGAATTGGTCATAGAAGTCATTATAATACAATCTTCTGGGCAGCCTCACTTCCTTTCTGCTGCCTTGCTTTGTTTTATCTCAGTTGGTTCTTGTTAGAAATTTAAAATGCCATCATTTTTTTGTAGGGCGGGTTGGACTGCCACTAATTTTTTCAGGTGCTCTTGAATTTAAATCTTAAATTTAAATTTAACGACAACTGTATCTGCTGTTTCTTCCCAAAAATCCCCAGTTAAAACTTCACCCCTTTATCTTAAGCCTTTACAGTTTTAATCTAATTTGACTTAATGTAACATAATTAAGTTTTAATTGCTGGAAGTTCAAAATTAACATTCACCTGCTATTTGAGGAATTGGCCAAGAATACTAAGCACTGAAGAATAGAAAAATGACAAATCATTAAAAGAGCCAATCTTTTGAATATCAGTAAAATTTTTAAAAGTTAGATAAATTGATCATCGGGAAAGTGAAATGCGATGAATTGATCTCAAGCCAATTTCGTATAAGATGGCCTTGGGGATGTCATTTAGTTCTTAGTCGATAGTCAGCTCTTTCTCTCAATCTTCTACTAGGGATTAAAGGTGGGGGTGGGGAGCATAACAGAACATAATCCCAAATATGTCCATGTCCTAATCCCCAGAACCTGTGAATGTTGCCTTACAGGTCAAAGGGACTTCATGGATGTGATTAAATTCAGAACCTTGAGATAGGGAGATTATCCTGGATTATCCGGATGGGCCCGCTGTCATCACAATGGTTCTCATAAGGGGGAGGCAGGAAGGTTGGGGTCAAAGCAGAAGCCAATATAATGAAAGAAGCAGAGATTGGAGCCATGTGCTCTGGAGACAGAGGAAGAGCCACCGGCCAAGGAATCCAGGTGACCCCTAGAAACTGGACAAAGCAAGGAAACAGATTCTCCCCTCAGAGCCCCCTGAAGGAACCAGTGCTGTCGATACCTTGACCTTAGCCTCGTGAAACAACTGAGGACCTCTGACCTCCAGAACTATGGGAGAACAAATTAATGTTGTTTTAAGTCACTAAATTTGTTGTGATTTGTTATAGCAGCAATAGAAAGCTAACACAGGGTGCTGTTGCCTCCCCATCTCCTTGGTTCTTCGTCCTGTTCGCACACAGGGTCCTACAGCCAGGCACTTGGCCACCAAGGATGTTGTTCATCTCCAGGGAGAAGACCAAAAGAGCCTTGCCTGGACCTTTGTGAGGCCATTTTCCCCAACCCCTATCCTGGCTTCTGTAGATCTACCTGGAACCAAGGTGCAGAGCCATTTATGTTGGTTTAATGTTGTCCTAGGAAGTCACCAAAACACATTATAAAATTATCTCAATTAACTTCACCCAGAGAACATACTGTACACTAACCTTCCCATCCTATTTTTCATCTCCATCCATGCCTGGCTACATCTTCCCATAAATCTTACCAGCCAGTATGTGGCCCAGATAAAAGTGCTAAATGATTCAGATACAATATGGTCAGCATTACAAAAAGCACCCAATTTGCACACACACCCCTGCAAAGCTTAGTTCTAGAGATTTCCCCATTTTTCCTAAAATAGTCCGTGCTGGCTACCAGCAATCCCATGAGGCAGGCAGACCTTGTCTAGCCCCAGAAGACCCATGAGGCTAAATGACATCCCCAAGGCCTCACTGATAGTTAGACACAGACCAGGGGCTCAAACTCAGGTCTCATGACTAGCTCTGGCTTAGCATCTGTGACTTTCAGAGCAGGCACCAACGCGCAGGTGGCATAGGTAAAAGTCAGCGGCGCTGCTACCGGAAGAAATACAACCCCACCTGCTGGTTCCAGTCTGAAATGCCTTGGTTAGAAGTTGATCCCCTCTTCAAAGGCAAATGCCTTGAAGGCCTTTTGGGGCACTTGAGCTCACACCAGGCCCAGTACCCACAGGCTATTTAAGGACTCAGGTGACTTGTTGCACCTGATCCTCCCAGAAAATCCTGGTAAAGTCCAGGTTTTGCAGTAATAGCCACTGTCCTGTCAGTCAGGCTACAGCAGCCTCCTGTTCGGGGAACTGGCCACTGCACGGTGGACATACATTATTTGGGGGTTCCTTAAAGTTTGAGGATGTGAGAGGAAGAACTGTGTCTGAATCTTGCCCAGAAGTACCTCCTCAGAGAGAAGATGCTGGAGAATAGCAAGACCTGGGTCTCCCCAGCATCTTCAACTTTCCGAGAAGCTGTGATTTCTAAATTGCGAGAACCCTGAGTCCTGTTTTCCCCAAGAGCTAGAAGAGTTCCTAATACTGACTGATGGAGCCTTAGCATGGTTAGCATTTTCTTGTCTGCTGCCTGGGACAACCCTGAGACCAAGGAGTGGTTGGCTTCAGAATGCACACTGCAGTGGATGTGGAGAGCCCTTTGGAGGATCCCTTGGAGACAGAAGCTGCTTTAAAAGACAGCAGAGGGGAAAGAGAAGGAAAAGCCCCTACTCATCACTTCCAGCAAAGTGGAGACGGAGCAGGGAAAATCCCACCAGAGGAAGAGTATATATAAGAAATTATATTAGAGGGGCGCCTGGGTGGCTCAGTCAGTTAAA